TAAGTATGTAGTAAGTAGTAAGTTATATGTGTCATTAAATTGTAATAAATAAATGGGAAAGATTGCCAAAAGGTGACAGATTCGAAAGTTTACACATTCTCAGATGTAAATCTTGGCGAAGTTCATATTTGCTGGATCGTTAAACATATTTGTGCCCTTCCTAGTGCCTGTTGATAAAAAAATTCATAACACCAAATTTGAGATAGAGGAAGAAAACACAAAAAAATTGCCAATAGCGAGGAAACCGCTTTTGTAACCCCTTCTTTTTTTCGGCTTTTGAAAGATCGGCTGGACAAAGATCGGCTGTGAAAATTTTGAGAGACTTCTCCAAATCAAGTTGAAGAAAATAAAAGGCAAAGCCAAATTATCACTGGCAAGTGCCTCCCTTCGTAGAGCCTTAGCTTATTAACGAAAATCATTTTGTTAATAATTACTACAGGAAACGGTAGTCCGAACCTTGCTCATCGCCTTTTGATGGCTTTTAGTGACCTTGAAAAGCGAAAACAAAAAATGTTTTTGTATAGGAAATCGTATGAACGCGAGTGCATTTCGTGATTTATGGGCACGAGTGATGTTTTGAAAGTTCTCAAAATTGCACGAGCCGTAGGCGAGTGCAATTTGAGAACTTTCAAAACATCACGAGTGACCATAAATCACGAAATGCACGAGCAGGTTCATACGATTTTTTATTTATTATATTCTCGACAAAATTACTCCATCGCGCTACTCTGTTCGTGCTCGTATTCTTCCATTTTTGGGTTTACTTTTCGTTGAGTCGCCCATGTTTGCCAGACATTTAAACAGGTCTGTGTAGCTTTAAACGTGTTTTTGTTTTTCGCATTTTCTTTAAGTTGCTCAATGATGTTTTGGTTTGACAAAGCAAACCGGCTGTCAGCCATTTTTTTATAATTTGGTGTTCAAATTTGGCGCTTCCCCGGTGTTTCCATGGCAACTTCTCCGTATTGCACTCTATAACCTCTATTGCACTCTATAACCTATTTATGCATTCATCATTGACCAATCAGAAACGCGATATTTTGTTGAGTATATAATAAGTAAAAAAACAATATGCTGGCACGCGCGCCAACATTTAGCAAATATGGTATGGAGCCTCCTTCATGGGGACACTTTTTGGCCGCCAAATCATACTTTAAATACACAAAAAGATGGTCAAGGAGAAGTCACTAGGCGCTAAGATCGGTTATTTCTAATTTTAAATACATCAACCAGAAAATGCAAAAAAAAGATTTCATGTCACAGGCGGTTTAAGACCAAGGGTACAGTTATTGCACCGCTGGTTTGCTTTTTCTTGCTATCTAATTGGTATGGACTGTGGTCAATATTGTAAAAGGCCATTGTAAAGTTCTTCAAAGGACAAATTTTTATAATTATTTTTAATCGTATTTTATTTCCCTATACTCTTAGTTACCAACCACTGAGTCAAGTCTTCCTACCAGGGATGGTCCAGGAGACAAAGAGGCAAGGAAAGGTGGAAAAGACAAAGGAGTAGCAATTGGTGGAGGAGTTGGTGGTGCTGCTGTTTTTGGGATTGTTGTCATAGGGTTGATCATTGTATTTTGTAGGAGAAGAAAGTTACGGTAAGCTGTGTAATCAAAAAGTGGTTGACTCTTACAGCAGCTATAACTGAACTGAATTGTCCATATTGTTTGAGAGAAATCACTTGAATTTTGTTTGTGTTAATGATGAGTGGAAAACAAAATCAGACTCAGATGATCACAAAGTGAGAGCTCAATTTGTTGTTAAATATTCCTGTTGCATTGTCTAGTTGCTAGCTCTGCAAGTGAAATTTACTATAAGGGCTTAAATAAGGCTGTGGATAACCATGCAACACAATTATGGTTTTGGTCACTCATGGGAGTTAAAGAGTTAATTATTCTCATCACTGGTTGATATTGTATTGATATTGTAAGGATAAATTCTGTCTTGGTTATTCATGGGAGTTAAAGGGTTAAAGACAAATTTGTGATTTAGAAATGATCATTGATAGTAGAATTAGTAATGCTGAATTTTTTTTTACAGGGAAAGTACAGAAAAGATAGAAGAACTACATGTAGGAGGTAAAGTTTTGTATTTAGAGTAAAATTACTGTTAGTTTAAGATTTGTACACTGATACAAGTCTATTGGACCCACCCTGAAAAGTTGTAGAGAAACAAGTTGAGTATAATATATCTGTGTTTCCTAATTTTGTTTTGAGTACATCTTAAACATTAATTAGCCTAAAATTGGATGCGTCTATCTTAAGAACTGTTATAACTCAAGTTGCATGATACTGATACATTCACTTTTTTCATGATTGTTAGAGTCTAGAATACCAAATTTTCCTTCACAATTTATGATTATTATATAAAAAGCCACTTTGACAATGAAACATGATAATTTCTGTGTTTATTTTGTTGAATTTTTAATTATAGTTAAGAACCCAGTGTACGAGAAACCTCAAGATGACATACAAATGGAAAGACATGGAGAGAAAGCCACAACTTTTAGTGGAAAAGACAGTCAACCAACTTACATGGAACTTGTTGACAACAGAGGTGAGTTGGTCAGTAATGAGCATGGACTGGTAACGGATAATGTAAAAGGATAGGTCAACATTACAAGTAATAGTTATTGACTTATTATATATTGGGTTAGTAATAGTTACATTAGTTACATCCTTTTTTTTGGTAAATGCTCACCTGCAAAGATGTTGACACCCAGAGAGCAGTAGCATACATGAACAACCTGTCCTGTGATTTTCTTTTCTTGACGGAATTCATGCTGATCAAAGCTTCCATCATCCACTCTTTGGAAATAATTGGGGTCATTATGCTCATTTAGTTGTTGAGTATTTTATTTGTTAATGGTTACTGCTGTGTTGGTGCCAACATTTTGGCAATCAAGTGTACATGCAGGTCATAGTGAATCTAGTTTCATGGTTCTTGTTAACCCTTAAACTCTGAAGATCTCATTAGTAATTCTTTGGATCAATATCAGTATCTGGGCAAGTGCCCACCTACCCCTCCCCTAACCCAACATTAACCCTAACTTGTTATCAATAATTGACTGTTGTTGAGTTAGGGGAGGGGTAGGTGGGCAGTTGCCCAGATACTGATATTGATCCAATTCTTCTTACTGTGTGCCAAATGATTCTCATTATGTTAGTTTGGAGAATTTGGTATCAGATCCATTAGTAATCCCATAATTGAAATTTTTTGTCATTCTTATCACTTGCCTACATGATATGTATATTATGGGAATCAAAGGGTTAAGAAATGTAGTTGCAAGAGAGGAATGTAAGGTGATAGGAGATTAAAGCAGAAAATAGCAAGGCTTGTGGGTAAGATGAAGTGAATTGTATGTTCTTATTTGCTACTGAAGTGAGCAAGTTGAGGCCCATCTTGCCTACTTGACATTGCATGCTTTAATCCAGTGCAAAAAAAAAACTTGCATGGAGTGGACTCACAAAGTTGTTTTGTGGACAATGTTGTTGATGGATTTGCAAAAAGTGGCAGACAGTACAAACAAATTTATTGAATGAAAAACAAGCCCATCTCAGGTGGATTTTTACCTTTGTGCCAAAAAAATAAAAATTTGTTATTGATCCTTATTTATTAATCATTTATTGACCAAGCTTGTTCAGTCAAGATGCCTGGATGTAAGCCTGGTTCTCTATTTGCGGTTTTATAAACCTCAACTTCATCCTAGTCCATTAAAATGCAATAAAAGTACTCAGGCTGATATAAGCTATCTTGACCTCTCAGTCTCGTCAATAACCCTGATATACCATTATAACAACAGAATTCTCTGATCTCCCTTGAAACATCCTGAAATCTATTCAGAACAATTCTATTAGCTTTTTATATTGATATTTTTTTCCAATTTTTACATTAGGACATGAAAGTTACAGAGCTGTGTACAGTACTGCAGATGAAAATTATGACAATTCATCTGTTTATCAAAGTCTGGACAAGAATACACCTGCAGCATCACCAGTTTACCAGAGTTTACAGAACAACCAGCCTTCCACTAAGAAACCTATGCCTAAACAGAAAATAAGCAATGCAGAAAAACCTGGAAAACCCAGTGTACCCTCAGACCCTGTGTACAATGTCCTTGAGGAGTCTCACACCAAACAAGGAAATACATCAGAGGCAATATATAATGTACTGGAAGGGCCAGATCCTGGACATGATACTTCAGGGAACATTCAGGACCCTGTTTACAATGTGCTGGATGGGTCTGATGCAGGACAGACATATGAGGCCCCAGATGTTGGTGTTCAACAGGATCCACTGTATAATGTGCTTGAGGTGCCTGAATCCAAACAAGAACATCAGGAGCCGCTTTATAATGTGCTTGAAAGTGCAGATACTGAAAATGCCCCTTCCAGACAGCATGGCCCCTCTGATGGTGCAACCAGTGAGCCCCTGTATAATGTTCTTGATGGGGCAGATTCAAGTGGAGCAAATTCAAGTGATGCAGAATATGCTGCTCCCAACAGATCCCTGTCTGCCAATGGTCATGACAACCCAGCCTATGAGCAGACCCTTAAATTTGGTGTACCACATGCATCAGTGCACAGCCCTGGGTCAGAGAGAGAATCTTTGTATGAACCCCTGAAAGAGTCAGATAGGCAAGATGTTTATGAGCCCCTTCGCAAAAAAGGGAAATGAGTTGTACCAAGGACATGGACCTTGAGTTGAATACAAAGTTAGCAGAAGTTGGTTGCTATTTAGGGGCCTAGGAGCTCTCCATGGAAATTAAAGTCAATATTGACTCTCAATTGTCATTGTTTCAGCCATTAAATCAAATGAGGCAATGGGAGTAGGAATAAAACTCAATTCTCTACACTAACTTGTAATTAAAATGGGCATCTCTTTCTGACAGGGTGCAATTGCATGACATGTAGAGTTATGGGGCAAGTTACAAGTGAAATATTTTATAAAGTATTTAAAAATTTGTATTTTTGTAACAAAGGATGTAGCCATTTGCTGCTAAGCAGAATTCAAGAACACTATTTTTGTACTGAAACTTTTTGAATGACTACAATTCTGTGGTTTATAAAGCGAAAAATAATTTTGCTCTTAATAGTTGTTTTTAATACTTATCTATGGTTATCACCCAAACCACAATAATTTTGCACTGTGAAATACAGTATTATACCTCAGAAGAATTTTATGAATAGTTTTTGTTATTGTAAGAATTTGTATATGTAATTACATTTTGAGTGCAATTTGGAATAAATAAGTACGAGTAAATTTTTTCAAAGACTAACAAAACTGCACGAGCCTGTAGGGCGAGTGCAATTTGTGGTCTTTGAAATAATTAACAAGAGCTCATTTATTCCAAACTGCACGAAAACAATCATGTGATTACTTATTAATAATATACTGAAAAAATACGAGATAGCGTATCATAATTACGCAGAAGCAAAGCGCGCATCAAGTGCAAAAATAATTTATTCAAACCTGTACATTCGGTCAAAACAACCGCGTACGATTAAAACAGTAATACACAATGATATTCTCACATCTATAAGGCGCAAAAAAGTTCAAAGTCCGGCCAAACAGTTCAAGGAATTGTTCAGTCTGTGTCCGAATCACTTTCGATGGAATGGAGTCGTCGTTTGCGAGGTTTAACTATGCTTGTTTTTAATTTCGGCGTACAATCGCTCGAGCAAAGTGTTGAGCTGGATCGGCTCGTAATTTTGATTTCCTTGACAATTCCCCTCTCTAAACACCACTTTTTCCAAACCGACAACCAAAAAGCAGTGCATTTTACAGTGAGGCAGAGTATGCAGTTCCAAGAGAACCCCGTTCTCCCGGTAGCCGTAACATCCCATCCTATGAGCAAACTCTGGAGTTACACGTACCTTATGACATAAGCTTGTCCAACAACGGGTCAGTTTATGAGGCCCTGAGAGGCGCTGATGACGATGACATGTACCAGCCTTTAACAGTAACTTAAGTTGTAAGCTTTAGAACGTAGCCAAAGAAATTGCTGCGAATAAATATATTTTAGTACTGTAGAACCTTGCTTAATCGAACCTGAGTGGGAACCTGAACTGCCCTCTAACTAGCAGTGGTAAAGCCATATTCTATGAAGAAGCTTTTTTTTATTTTTTTTAACTATCAGGAAACTCGAGCTCCCCAATTTCTCCTTCAAGTTCCAATTAGGGGAGTTTTAGCGTAGTTTACTTAAATTTTTCTTTTTTAATGAGAACAAAGAAACTGCAACAATCATTCAAATAAGGCACAGTGTTAAATGTTAGTTAGAATTACATAGAACTGTTTCAAACCTTTTGTAAGGTTGTTTTACAAATACTTTGAACTTTTGCCAAGTGTAGAAACAGGAAATATTTTGACCAAGTCCTAGTTGGATTCATATTTTATTGAAGGGTCTCAATGGGGCGATGGCTTTTATGGCGAACAGTTTAAGTTTTCGCCATTTTACGGTTAATTAAAAATGGCATAGAAGATAAGAAAAATTTTTTTGTTTAACTCTTGTTACGAGTAACGGTTAAAATTCGTTAATTTTTACGCCCAACGACCAAATCTTTTGCCCTTTTACTGCTAACGGTTAACCCCACTGAGACCCTCGCATAGGGTAGAACCTCTATACAGTGTCCTCTATACACTGTCCTCCATAATGGCCCCTACAAATGGTAGACCCTTTGAAAACGATTAATACCTATAAAATGTGCTTGAGAGGCCTGGCTCCAATAGGAACCACTTTAAAATGTCCTAGATGATGGCCCTGATGCTGAACGTGGGCCCTTTAACCCCATTGAGACCTTGTATAGTGTAGAGTATAGAATTATTTAAACTAACTATCACATACTTTTGTTACTTCACCTTTACTTCTGGTAGTCTACATGCCAGCCTATGTTATCTTCTATATCTTCTAGCGGCCTATCGATCCCAGCGGAAAAAACGAGGCTTCGTAGCTTACAGTAGGGACCGAGAAAACGAGGTAAGCAATATTTTTAAAATTATAACTCTAGGTTCAAATAGAGGGGGGAGATTTCAATTCCAAAAAATATTCGAATTTTGTGGGCCACACAGTGATAAATATTAAAACTCGGTTGCAGTGACTGATGTGGCCTTCCACTCAACGCATCGGAAAGGACATCAGAGCAAGCTCTAAATTGTTCTCTCGAAGGGCGGCCGATGTAATTTTTGAGGCTTACTTGACTGCGATGACCGGAGATCGCCATGATGAGCTAGCCGCGTTGTACCTCAGCATGATCGAGGTCGCTTTGACATCGTCATGATTAGTATGAATTTTTAACAGTTATGCCAGTTTAGCTATATTTTTCATCATCAACAATATATACTACGCGAGTGTCAGCTATGTTTGATTTTTATTACCGTGCGTAAGCTTGCAATCTAACTGAGTGTGAAAACCTTCAGAACTCGGACTGTCCATTTCGTTTTCTCATTGAGGATTTTCGTCTCTGTTCAAGTTGTAATAACGTCAATTACGGCGCCAGGCATGTTTACAAAACTTTGGTTCTTCTGTTACTATTTGCCGACTCGTCTGTTCCGAAATTTCACTTTCGGTTACGGAAAAAAAAAACTCGAGAAAAGTCCCGGAAAAGGTCGGACATAGTTAACAGTTGGTTCATGCTTTAGCGTGCACTATCGAGTTATGGAGCACGTGGGAAGTTTGGAGAGCACGAAAGAAGCGTAAGAGTTGCCCGAGGCAACTCTAGTTTCTTGGGTGCTCTCCAAACTTCCCACGTGCTCCATAACTCGATAGTGCACAGCTAAAAGCATGAACCAATTGTTTTATAACATAGCCGGTGGAATTGTGCATCAAATCCGACGCGAAAAACGGACAACAATACCAGAAGTGATTGTTCGCGGTAAGCGAAATATTAAGCAAAATAGGAATTGGTTTTATTTCAAATTTTCTGTTGAAAGTTCGAGTTTTATTTTACAGCAGTTTAACAGTTTAAAGTTTGTATCCATTATTGTCGCGAAATA